GACTTCTTTCATGTCTTTTCTCACATTAATTGTTAATTAATATACAATAGTCAATAAGTTACATATTGCACTTAAGTATTGTCCCTATATTTTGTATCTTTTTCATAAGCTGATTAAGAAAGCCTGTCGAAGTTAAAAATTCTTAAATTATTTTGTCGTCGAAACTGAACATTTTCAGTTTTTAAACATAAGGCTTGAAATTGAAAATATTGTAATATAAAGCTCCTTGCAAGTTGTTCATCAAGAAATTAAATATAAAATAGTACATATAGTCACAATTTTTTCCAAAACCTATTTTTAACATGTCGGACCTATCCGTACTGTTCTACGGTTATGTTATGTTGGAGTGTTAACTTACAAGTAGTCATATGGAGTTATATTTTTGGACATAATTATTTCTATCAGACGAATTCAGAAATAACTAATAATAATATAAATATAATATCATAACTTCAGTTTACCTCGAAAAATAGGCTGTGATGCCCGTCTCTTTTGCTCATTTACTTAGAATAGATTTTTCCTGTATAATAAAGATTAAATATAAGATTAAAAATATTTATCAAATTCGTTATACGTCATGACCTACTAAATGACGAGCCTACACTGAAAACCAGCTATGCAATGGAAGAGTTCCCCGGTTTTTTAAAAAAGTTTTACTACCAGTCGGAAACTATTATAACAGTACCTATTTCATATTATAATATTCATTAATGCGTTGTTCCGACTTTTTTTTAAACTATTTTATACGATTAAAACGATATAGAAACCTCACTCGTCGTGGGAAATGTTACTATTTTTTGTTTATTTTTTGACGGTATTAATAACTACAATACTATAGCTCTAGACAGACTATATGAAATTTTTTAATTTTCATTTAGTCTATGATAGTGTTATTACTAATTATATTACGACTGTGGGCAACTTAGTATCCATCGAGAGTGTTAAATTGGGTACCTAAGTAAGTATGTATATTGTATTCTATAGTACACACGCGACACTGATTCAATTATTATTGCGCAGGCTTTTTGTTTCGTGTAAACATAATAAATTAATAAAGTACACTATAATTATATGTACAACTTGTTTTTAGGTATAATTAAAATGCGTAGTTATACTATGCCTACACGCGTTACTTCCGATTTCTTGTGACCTAATTCCGACACCCGTGTAAGTATACCTAGGTAGAAAAATATACCTAGCACACACAAATACCATATGCCGTGCTTTGTGAAACGATATTGTTTGTTTTCGAGCACAATATTTAATTATACAAAGGCGGTGAACATCGCTACAGGGAATAGTATTTTTCTTAATTAGGAACTGGCGCACGCATTGTATTGCCGGTAGCCCGGGCCCCGAACACAATGCACGACGACTATTTTTCTGGTACGCGTAATTGAATGTAATTTGCTTACGAAAACAAACCTAGAGCCGTAGCTGGTAGGTGGGCATGGAGGCAGCCGTGGCTAGGAAGGACGCGGATATTAAAAAACATAGACAGGTATGTGAAAACATCTCATGTTATCGTTGGTATTTTATAACTTGGCCAGACTAGACGCGACTTGGAACGACGCGTATTTATTACCGAGGTTACGACCGTCTAAACCTATTTACCAAAAAAAAAAAAAATTTTGAAATAATTATTTGTCATTATGATAGTGATAGGTATACATAATATTATTAGGTGTGGCTAGAGTGCCATCTAAATAATATCAAACACAACGAAATACTCTCTTGGATTACCCTCACTCGTTATTCTTACAGCTGGCGCGATCGATTATTGCAATTAGGTATTTAGGGGTTTCCCTTTTCCCAAACGTCACGAGAATGTAAGCGACCGACTTGGCGACTTACGATATTTCGTATATATATATAGTATATTACATACTATTTTAAACGACGACATAAATATATTGTGATACAGTCGAGTTTCGAAAACTTGAATTTTTTTTTAGTTTTTGAAGCGTTTTTAACATGTGTTTCAGGTATATAACTCGAAAAATACATAAGTCAAATTTATTTTTATTCCCCTTGAGATACGAGGCATCGAGTCTCGACTGTATGATGTATTCACTAGGTATTTAGTATTATATAATTGTACAATTATTATAATATTATGAACAAAATGATTCAAACGTGTGCAAAAAGGACAGGTGTCGAGATATCTTTTTTTAAGATTCCTATGATTCGTGCAATATACAAAACCAAAAATTATGATGTACGAGTTGAAAATTGATTGAATCAAATTATTTAATTTTATAATTTATTTTGATCATAACTCGAGTAACTAATATAATTGGTTATTGGATAGAACGTTCGATTCTAAAATAATAACATAATCTGTTATTTTAAATTTTTAAACGAAATAGTTCTAGTTCGAATTTAATAACTAAAAAATAGTTATCGAAAATATAGATTATGTACAGGTGCTCTGATATTGTAATAATATCTTATTTTTTGATAAATTATATTATTTTATATCGTACAATTTATTGTTTACTGAGTAGTGACTGATGTTGAACGGACTATTTCATATGGTCAATGTTCTGATTGCTAACCCAATAACAACCAAGTAATATTACTATAAATAACACAAAATAATAATAAATAAAATATTGCTATGAATTATACATTCCAGCAATCTCACATAACAATATTTTGTTAAGAGGACGTGATACCCTCCCTCTTACAAGTTCGTACCATAGGAAATTCTACGCAAAGCAGAACACGTTAGTACTCCGTTAGTTTAAAAATTAGAGTGAATTGACCCCTTATAAAATCTAAAGGTAAAATGTATTATCTAGACAACTTCATGGGTTTTTTATTATATTTTAATTTTTAAGTGAGGTATGGGTATTTTAAAATTTTAAATTGTGTATAGATCTTAAAGTACTCATAACTAGCTTAAAAATTAGAATATTAAAAAAAGCTCAAGGGGTTGTCTAGATAATAATCTTACCTTGAGATTTTATAAGAGGTTAATTTACTCTAATTTTTAAATTAACGGAGCTACACGTGTTTTGCTGAGCGTCAAATTTTCTATGTTATGCACTTCTGAGACGGAGACAACACATGCGGGTATCACGTCCTCTTAACGGACACATTTCGGTTTTGCATTGTGTTCGCATCTTTATAATATTTGGACGATAAACACGGATAACGTAATGGTATGCTATAATGAAGATCCAGTTTTAAAACCACGTAATAAGTAGTACGAAATGTTAGATAATACAACTTAAGAGAAATATAATATTATTGATATCGACAACGAGTCATTGAGCTTATAAAAATATGCAGAACGAACTTTTTTGTAAAATCATAAGATAATCGTTGAAAAGTTGAATGATTTAAATTAAAGTATTATCTCGTTGTCATTCAGTCAATGTTGGTTTTAGATCCATGGTTAAGAGATAAAAATTACATAAAAAATTCGGTCTATTTGAATATTAAAAAAGAAAAGGATTTTATATTAAAAAATACAAGTTATATAGCGCATGTGCTCATTGGCAGAACCAACCAATTTAAAATTATCAAAAAGTGTGAATTACTATCTCCTCTTAAAAACCGAATATAAATTTGAGGTCTGCGCACAGGACATATTGGGATTTTAGTGTGTTTATCTAGTAACCGTTAATCTGAAGTCTTCACCAACGATAAAAAAGTTTTCATCAACGGTTATAAATACTTAAAAATTTAAAATACGGGAATTATATTTTTTTTTACGAGGAGGACGCTTTCTCCCGAGTTAAAGTCTCCAAGGATATGCCTCTCCGTGATGACCAAGTAGTAGGTACCCATCAGTTGGACCCGGGTTCACGCTAAAAGCTTTTAACATGGGTACAGCTAATTCGTTTGGTCTGATAATAATAATAATACTTTTCACCGAAATCCTAACTACAATAATAATTATAAGAGTGTCCCAGAGAACGGTGAAATTGCGCTAACATCTTATATTATGGCGAAGGTACAGCTACACGTATAACATAATAAATCAGTATGTGTTATACTTATAAAAATATATTATTATAAATACAAACTAAGATGATAATAATATTGTGTTTTCCCCAACGTAATGTCACCATCGTCGTTGTCGGTATCTTCTTCGTTTCACGAACGCACACACATAGTACGAGAAAATCGATTTGACAATGATCGGCGAAACGGTATTCGAATATGATAATGGCGTCGTCCACACACACACACACACACACACACACACACACACATTAAACGCAATGCGAAAAACGAAAATAGGAATAGATAGTGAAACGAAAAATTTTATCGCAAACGCTCAGAAACTATATTCACACGGTATTATTTTTGTGTGTACTTAAGTGCAAAAATGGCCGGCGGCGGGTGCCCATCATACATGGCCCCCTCGGGATCGCACACACACACAAACACAGACAATGTATTACATATAATAGGTACCTATATATTGTTATTTCTCTCTCTCACTCTCTCTCTCCCTCTATCTCTCTCACTCACTCTCTTTTATATTATTTTTCTTGAGCTCTCCCCACACACACACACACACACATGCACACACACACACCGGTCAAGCTCCATTTATCGTTTGACGATGACAATGGACGACGCCGATGATGGGCGACGCGAAAAATCGTTATTATCGAGTCGTCGTCTTCTCCTGGTGGGACGACGCAGTTTAATTATGTTCGACGGGAAGTTATCCGGATGTGTTGTGTACGTGTGCGTGTGTATGGGCGGTCGTGTGTAGGGCTGTCGTCGGCTGGAAAGTAGCCGGTGAAAACAAATCTGGTGGGGAGAGTGGGGCGCCGTATAAAAATCCTAAGGACCGCTGTGCAGGACAACTCGTGGAAAAACCTCGTGCGCTTCGCTAACCACCGCAGTCGCGTAGTCTTTGCGATCGTCGTGTCGTCGTCGCCATAGTTTTCGTCCGTCGTGCCATATCCGATAACCGTCGCCGTCACCGTAGATCCGATCGAATCGAACGTCGAGTTATATTATTATCCTCAACAATGTCGAGATTAGCAGCAGTCATATTCGCGGTGGCGATCGCGTCCTCGTCGGTAGCGGCTGAACGGCCCGAAGCCCGCAAAATCGATACCGGCCTCGGAGATTTCAAAGTGGTTTTCAAAGTTTTTCAGGACTGTTCAAAGGCGCAAGTAAGTCGTTGGCCCTTCACCGGTGTCGGTAAACGGCATTTAGTTTTATTCCCTGCACTGTTGTTGCCGTTGTAACTATATGTAATATAATAATACGAACGCCATCGTGTTTGCCCGCAGTTCGGACCGTGTCTCAAGCACAAGTTACTGACGGCCCTCGACCGGATCAGCGAGCAACCGGAAATGGAATTGTTCGATGGCGTCCGATTAGTCAAAGACCCGGCTGTTGCTCTAAACGACGTCGCCCATGACATATCCTCTGCCAGGTCTGCCGGTGATGACGAAACGGCCATCCTGGACACGCTGGTTGTTGACAGAGTGGTGAACTTTTTCAAAAGTCGCAGCCTCCAGTTCAAACTTCTCGACAACGAACCCAGAGAAATGGCCGATGGTAAGTAAATTAGTTGCTATATAGTCACTCGTTGGCACTCATTTTTCTTATCGTCGGACTTTATACGTTGCGGGTGATGGATATATAATTTATTTATATAATTATATATTTATATAATTTATATAATATTTTTATAATTTATATTTTTATTATATATAATTTATACATGTACAGAATTCGTAGGTTTCTTTTGTCTATGGTTTAATCTGGTGGTGTAAAATTTTTACCCGAATATAATACCAGCTATACCAGAATTCACATTTATAGATTCAAATTTATTTTTATGTACAACAATCTAGATTTACTAAACAAGTCATATTTTTCTTTGTTAAGTACCTACTTGAATCTGCACAAAACAATTATTGACTGCAGAAATATTTTATAATTAAAAATTCTTCGATAATATGCGTGTACGCTAAAATTCAGCAGTAATTATAATATTTTATATAATCAATTAAAATGTAGTTCAATATTTTTATTTTTTGGTTAAATTGTTTATTATAAGAACAACATTTTTATAAATATAAATTATAATTTATTGGCAATAGACAATACTATCATAGTACAAAAACGTATACAAATCTAGACGTTTTATAAAATTTAAATAAATAGAAATAACGAAAACTGCAAACTAAAAATAAATTAGTTACTAAACTTAATAAAATAAAATATATTTATTTAAAATTTATTGAAAAATAAATACATATTCTTTTAAAAACAACTTATGATACGCATTAATCTAACATTTAAATATATTAAAATTGAAAGCTATAACATATTATTTTATTTTTTAAATAAAAACGATATTGGTTTAATATTTAATACTTATAGGTATATGTGTTTTATCTGCAAAGGAACCAAACTAAAAAAATAAGATGGGTTTATTTAAAAATTGAAACAATAATATTGTTATACCAGGACACCAGGTAATAATATTGTCATCAATCATAAAATTAATTTCTTGTCCACATTAATACGTGAATATACATTAAGTATATACCTATAAATGTAATTTTTAAAAATGAGTTTAGATTATAATCAGTGATAAACTATATACATAAGTCCCTCTCGAGTCTAAATATTACATTGTTAAGAATTTATAAAAAATTAAAACAAAATAATAACTTCACCGCGCCTTTGCAAGAAGAGCATTTTCGCCGAATTGTAAAACATTTTTTTTCTTTTACGTATACAATTTCGGGAACGATATTTAAATACTATCAATCATTATAAATTTCGGACGGTCCGTAAAGCTGATACCTACCTGAGCGGTATCTAAATAATTATTAAAAACCGATCGAAAACGATGAAAACCGAACATGCAATCGATGGCCAAATATACAATTATTATATCATTTATATATATAGTTACGCACACTCTGTCAGCTGAAAAACGCCACCTCAGGTGACGCGTGCCGTCGGAAGATTTTCCGACGATATATTATTTTATTATTATTATCATTATATGGTGTGCGAGAATTTTTTTTCTCCGACGAAATTCTCGATGACTGGCAGAAAAACGTAATCGTTTGTAATGACGTTTTATCGTCGTCTACCAAACGGTCGGCAGAGTTTTGTAGGTACGATTGATTTTTAATGATGGTACATTTTGGTACGGTGGGTCGCTTTTCTTTTTCTATTTTTTTTTTTTATCACCTACTGCAGAAAATTCCCATGCGGTATTTGGTATAGTGTAAACCGGGTGATCCATGTGGTAACGTATAAGAACGTTTTAACGATTAAAATAAAGTTGTTTTAAAAATATATTTTTTACACAATTTTAAGCATTTAAAAAACAAAATAATATTTCTAAAAATGTTTTGTATCTTTACTAATTTGTTTGTATCATTATTATATTTTTAATTGTTTACTTTATTTATGACAATGCGTTAATTCCTTATTCCAAGCAGAATTCGTTTCGGAATACTTCGATGTACTTTGATGTAAATCAAATTTTGGACGATTTGCTTATAACATGAGTTAGGTATAACTGTATAAGTATTTATAGTTAAGATAAGTAGAACGGAGTGGTACAGGGGTAGTCTATAAAATGTTGGTTCACTGCTTTGATCATCTAAATTCTAAAGTTTCTTTGATTTTTATAGATCGGGATTTTAAATTAACATGCATGAAAAACGTTGTCATTCATAATATTAAAAACTTAAAAAATTATAGCGGTAAAAAGTAGTAAAATTATAATATTTTTCCAAAAATGTTAGTTATTGTCTTGTGACGAATTAAAGTCACCTACGTAAAAATAATATTTTCAAAAAGGTTAATGTTTTCTGATATAAAGAATGTCTTACACGGTAAATGGATCACACAGTACACAATAATATTATTATTATTTTTCCCCACCGTGTAACAACCAATCGATATACCTACCTATTATTATTATCATCAATGCACCCGTTGATCGTTATTGTGCACGTTTATATTGGTTTTTATATACTTTTACAATCGACGACGAGGTGACATCAATATCGTGATAACAATGATAACAATTTAGTACTGTACTATTATATATAATGGCAATAAAATAATAAATTAACATAACATTATTATTATTATATTATACGAAGCACATCTAGAAAATCGATGAAAATATATAATTATAATATATGCGCCACACGAACGCGGCTGTCGGTGTTCGGCAGTCATTTCGTTTGAATTTTCCGCCTACTTATATATTATATAAAAACACGTGGTCGATACCGTAGAAAACTTAATCGTAAATAATGATATTTACGAAGCTTTTTATCTAGAGATGACGATTATTATAACTAATTGGATCGTGTTGCAATAATTCGTGCCTTCTAATATTATAATAGTTATAATTATGACTATTAAATAATATTGTCCAGTGTAATATTATGGTATAAGTTTTTTATTTTAGGGATTTCCATTCTTTGTGGGGAGCTTTCCTTTTATTTTCATACATGTCTTAGATCTATGTAATTTCATGGGTGTTTCGCTACCACTGCTTTATTGAGTATTATAATATTGATAATCAAGAAATCGACTATACTATATCGGAGCGTCATCAAGAGTATAATAATATAGAGGTATACGTACACTATATAATATAACTATAAATAATATTTTAGATTCCCAAACGTCTTTTAACGTGTACTGAGAGACTCGCCATTAGCCGTGTGTCCTCCTCCACACCTAGAACAAGATCGATAAAACTTCATGACAAGTATCTATTTTAAAAATAAATCGATTTCACTAATTCTACAGATGTTAGCCTAATTATGACTTGCCCCTGCCCCTTCCGACATCATCCTATACACGTCTAAACAAACGGTGACAGAGACGCGTCTCCACGACATGGTTTCCACATAGGTCGATTCTTGCATACCTATATTAATATTATTATTATTATCATTTTTATTATGTTTTAACCTGTGGAGTACACGTACATGAACCTATTCACACCGCAGCGGTGCGCGACGACTGTACCGGAAACCGGGTCACAGATCGAATCGTCGATGATGAGGAGTCGCGCTCGTCGAAAACGTCGTTTTAAAACAATAATCAATTAATAACTATTAAGACGACTATGCGATGGTATTATTATAATATTGTGATCTGAAACGATATGGTTTTGTGATGGACAGTCGCCGCCGAAGCGCGAAGCCACCCATAAAATAATAATAATAAAATGATACTCCTACTCAATGCGGCGACGTGTGCACCACGGGCTCCTCTATTATAATAACAAAAATAATTAATAATATTGTCATTATATTTTTTCAAATTGTTATCAAAGTTCTCATTATCTCGCACACCCTCTTGTTAAGCGGCTGCTTCGTCTCGACCTGTATACTTTTATGTTATTATTATGAGTTGCCACGCCGCTTCTAACGTCCACTCCTTTGCGAGGTGGCGGTGGCTGCTTTAACATCTACCTAGGTATTGATAATATTATTAGGAATGGTATCTCGTATTGTACAGTTATCGGCCTTTCTCTTACGATGTATCGTATACAATACGTCTGTATTGTTTTGTTCATTCATCCGCATGCCCGACCACTCGAGATTATGCCGGAAAACTTTTTAATTATTTAATGTAATCTTGTCTGCAGCTAGTGACCCGCCTGCTGCAGAAAACCTTCTCACTTAGTTGGTTGGTTAGTGTAAGTCACCCATAACCATAAATTACATTATTCTAATTACCCAATCATCAAACTATACGCTACTTATATTATACCATACTCGATTGATTCTAAACAACAATGTTTTTCATTCTTTAATAAATAAAAAAAAACATTATCTACAGTGAGTAATAGCTATAATAATATAGGTCCTCTTTACAATTTATATTTTCCCGTCTTTGAATGTTATTGTGTGATCGTTTATGGCCACGATATTAGTATTATAATATAATTAACTGGTTCTAGTACACAGTGGTGCGCAACGCCCAACCTTTTTAGATCCAACACTCCCCCCCCCACCAATTGTATTTTATTTATTTTGATGAGGCGACTGCATACCAGCATTATATTTATAAATACTTATATAATATTTTATAGAATATTTAATATTGTGTATCAAAAAAAATAAAAAAAAAAATTATCCTATAAGTACCCTAAAAATTTAATGATACTATCATATATTATTATTATGTGTTTACTGCTTGTCCATAAAACCCAAAACACTCTATAAACCAGTTACTAATATTATTCAGTACCCTATACAATATATTATTGCGGGACACGAGACTGAACTATTGGATTATAAGTTCCTAAGACTTTTCATTTTTTAACTCTTGTTTTTGAGCACGCGCAACAGCTTTCACTTTTTCTTTTATCCTTGTTTTCGTGGACACTGGCGACTGGCCACTGATGTTTGGCGTCGTCATAAATACAATTTAAAAAAAACCACTTCAGCTAACCCTGAAAATAATAATATTATCTGATGTGATATTTTTAATCAATTATTTACATTGTTGATAAAGGTCGCAAAAAGAGCAACAAGTACAACTCGATGCTCATGTACCCGTTCATGATGGGGGGCATGACCATTCCGCTGGCGTTCGGCGTGCTCGCCCTGTTGGCCGGCAAGGCTCTGATCATCGCTAAGCTGGCGCTGGCCCTGTCCGCCATCGTGGGTCTGAAAAAGCTGTTCGGCGACCAGGGGGGCAGCAGCCACGAGCACATCACGTACGGTGGAAGCGGTGGCCACTACCGCAGGAGCCTGCCCGGCGAACCGGTGGCAGCGTCCAACATGGCGTACAGCTCTTACATGCCCGTCTACGAGGAGCCCATCCGGAGCACCACGTCGAACGCGATCCCCATGAGATGATTCGACGACAGCTGAACACGATCCAAGACCACCGACTACGTAATATGATGATACGTATAATATAATATTTACATCATATTATTATTATTATTTACGGAAGTCGATGGTTATTATATTTATTGACGGATGGTATACTGCACTAATTGTGATGGTATAACATTTTTATATTATTTAACTAGCATTATTATTATTATTATTTTTAGGAATTAATATTATTAATATTGTTATTGTATTATTTATTTTGAATCGAATAAATTTGATCTGCTTCTTAAACGACGATTTAGTCTATTTAGTTTTTGGTATAACTGTTTTGAATTTTCAAAAACAAAATTTCGGGGTAAGTGTCCGATCACTGGTATAAAAAATAAAATATAAATGGAAGAAAAATCAAAATTATTATTTAAGATCTTTATAATCCGACTGGGTTCTACTACAATAACCTGCTCAAAGTGTTCGATGACGACAGTAATATTATTTTTATTATACCCAAAAAATATGATAATTATATTATATATTTTTATAAATTGTAAAAAACATTGTTATAGATTTCATTTTTCAGCATAGGTACATACAACATATCACTATAGGTATTCAAACTCAAATCAATGATGTTGCAAAATATAATTATCTAATATTAAAAACAGATCACTGTGTACGTTTGTATGATAATAATTATTATTATAATAAATAATAATGATATTATAAGTTATAAAATATCGCGAATCGTATAATATGCATGTTGTACGACATTTTTCCGTTCTAATTTTTATATGGCTTATAAAATACCTAGTGCGAAACGTTTCGCTATGAAAAAAAAAATAACCATTCGTTAACTACACTGCAGTGGATATTATCATGTCGTCATGATATTGTATTCATCTAATGGGACGTATAGGTTGCAGGTAAGTCTCAATGCCTGACCTAACCACGGTACATGAGTGGTAGGCACGTGTTTGTAGATTTACGTCGTTGTAGCTCAGCTATCTATAGAAATAATAATAATAATATAATAACGTATATGCGGAGGAAAATTTCTCTCTAATTTTTTTTATGACTTACCTATTACTAGCTATGGGCCCACGTAATACGCGTTTTTCCGTTTTCCGTTTTTACGGCAATGCGTAACGATAAAGAAAATACTCATATCAATGTGAAGTCTCGTTTTCCGATAATAATATGTGTCGGGCGCGCGTGCGCACTACAACAGAGACGACGACACAATCGTATAGTTTTCGGTTTCAGACGTGAAAATCGTGCAGTGGTCACGGTATTTTATATAATATTCGGACTCGCCTGGACCGACGATCCTACACGTTCAAGTCGGATGTAAAACGAAATATTATATTATTTTTATTCGTTTTCGACATTAATCCATTATACTATTATTATTATATATACATAATATAATACACGGCCAGCAGACAAACGGCTCTCCGATAGCTCATTGTAATACGACAAAAATATTTTCTATTATATATTATTATTATTGTTTAGCACTGGACTCGATAATATTATTATATTATGTTTCGTATGGGCACTCTCGCGCTCTCCACTTCATCTGTAGCACATTGAATACACGCGTACACCTTTTATAATTATTTAGCTCGTTGTACTTAAAATATTAAATGTTTGAGATTGATATAATATTATCGTGTTGATAGACAATAATAATGATAATAGTAATATCATGACGTCTCACTCCAGAACGAAGATTAGAAATCCGTCCAAACAGACGGCTGCACCACAGTATAGTATACAACATCGAATAATAATATATTATATTAATATGGTACCTATACCTAATGGCTAATCGGTTTCTGATGACTATAGCGTCCGCACGTGTGATTTTGTTTGGTCACGAAAACGATGTAGAGAGCAATAACTGAGGCGATATTATATTGCAGTCGAGACATTAATACATATGGACACTGGTAGACGTGTTCCAAAAATAATACTCAGTAGCACTGCAGCAAAAGTTAAAGAAGTGTATAATTCTAGCCAAATAGTATATAGGCATATAAACGTATAAGTATAATCGAAGTAGGTGTACTGTTATAACGAAGCACTAGCGACAAGTATGAGAGTTAAGAGCGTTTTTGTTTATTATATTTTTTTCCGCAAAAATTCCTTTGACGAAATTTCTCTTAAATAACCATGTAAAATCATATAGATAAAGACCAGCAAATTGCATTACACCGTTTCATTTCTATTACACACCGAACTCATGTCGCGAACGTCGCACGAGATCCGTACGCGAAACTACCAAGGTACCTATATAATTTACCACTTATCGTCGTATGGAACCTGCACCTTCAAGTCAACACAATTTATACGATACGACAAGATCGATTTTTTTGTTTCACCAGTTATATACCTAGGTATACAGCACTATTAGTGTTTATATAATTGAAAATAAATATTCTGTATTTTCGTCGCAGTTCATCCACAATTATTATGAGGCATTAACATCAAACTCTACTTCGTGTCCTGCAGTGTTCACGGAATTCCAAATTAAAGTACAATATTCCAATCAAACAACATAATATGACGATAATATTTAATTACACGAGTAGTAAAAAACATTACAAGTTTGATGAACATTAAAAGAAAAAATTGTTCTCTTTAATACTACGCCACGATGTTTATAAAAATTAAAATATAAAATTTGCATTAAATTATACGATCATCAACAAACCTAATCATCTAGATTATATAAAATGTCTTGACATTTAACATTTTAAAATTACTTACTCATTTCATTATTGAATAATATATTAGAAAATTATTCAAGTTTACTAGTAAAAGTAGTATTATAAATTATAATACTACGATCACGTACCTACAGGTAAATTATAATGCAAATGGTGTAGTAGTCATTATATTATAATAATAAAATTTGTATAGTCTTATGTGATATTATGAACAAATTAAAAATTACATTGTCCGTTGAAGTAATCAAAATAATATTTTTAATCCACAATATGCATTTAAAAAAGTCTACTCTAAGCAGGGCCGTATTTGAACATGAACATTTTGCGCCCCAGGCAACATATTCCCCCCCCCCCCAAAAAAAAAGTTATTTCTTAAAATGTAAGGAACCTATTATTTCGGTTTATTGTTTATGACTCTTAAATGTGGTTGGATTTTGAATTTTTTTTTGGAAATATTTGTTGTTCAATGAGTTAAAAACAAATCAGTGATTCAAACAGAATTTGTCGATCGGACTTAGTTTCAACGTTATACACGAGTTTGCAAATTCCCATCAATCGGGAGTTTTTTTCATTAAATTTCTTTATTAATAATATAAATATATAATATACAGTAAGTATAATGGGTAATTTCTGATTTCACCAAAATTATAAGGATAAAAACTCACATTTAAAAAAAAAAAAATCAAAATATTATTTTTGGTATTTTGATAATATAAGATTTTAAGGTTTTGAAGTTTTTTAAATCTTATAACTTCGACAGAAAATTTGACCAACTTTTTTTTATAGTACCATCATTAAGCGTGGAAAACACATTTTAAAGAAATAAAGTCACGAAAATCGATTTCCATCTAAGCTCCATTCCTTCCAATATTTCATACTTTCATCTATTAGTTATCTCTTAAATCACTAGGAAAAACCATGTTAAATAAACATATTATAGTTTTTATAAAAAAAGTATACTGTATACTTAAGTAAAATAAAAATGAATACAATATTACAATGATTTCTTTATAAGCGTTTAATTTTTTTATCTCATTGTAAATAAAAATTATTGTACATATTAATTGAAAGAATCTAGTACCTTTGGTATCCGAACCGTTATGGTGAATACTCATATTATAAAAATTAATTATAAACTGAAAAAAATTTATTATTTATTTTAATTGCATTTTTTCTGATCTTAATTTTATTAATAATCAAGTCGTATAGGTATTACGTAAAAGTAAAATAGACATTATTATAATTATGTTGTGTTTTACTTATTTACAACAACGCCTGCTGTTTATGCCATTATACCTAAGTTATCCAAGGAATTATTATTGTTAGTATAAAAATAGATTGAGAGAATATCATCCTAAAATAAGCTTTGGAGAGACACGCCTAATCACAATACATAAGTAAAAAAACATTTTACATAATTTTAAAGTTATAACTATGTTGGCTTGATAATAAAAAAGTTCATGAAAAACTACCGCCCCCCCAAGTTCAACCAGGAGGGGAAATGGCCTCCCTGGCCCTCCTCTAAATACGGGTCTGACTCTAAGTGTATAGGTACAGAATTTAATTACTCAAATATCGATTTCATGATTATATTATGATGGGGACGTTGAAACGATATCGAAAAATAAATGTATATTATGCCTATAGGCTATACTTTACATATTATATGTTCAGTGGTATTAAAAAATTAAAATTTAATTTTTTTAAAGTTAATTTTTATTCTAAAAGGGTGAGTAAAATATTATGTAAGTACCTATACGGCAATAGAAATTTCGTCAAAACGCAAGATAAAATTAATCTATTGAGTTAATTTTTTATTTTCATGAGATTTTATCTTATAAATTATTATATTATATTGATTATAACAATATATAAATAATAATAATAGTTTTAGAAATAGTCAAATAATATATAATAATATTATAATATTCATGGGATATTGCTTAATTTGAATAGGTATTAGATTATATCAATGAGGGGATAATGCGTATTAGTAATGGATAAGATTATTATAATGATAGAGTGTTGGACGAACTATTGAATTATTAATCAAACGTAATATTTTATAAAATAGCAAAATATCACCAATATTCACCATCGCGCTATAATACCTATTAGCAATAATGTGGGCGTTAAAGTCTCTGAGAAAAATTCATTGGATTTTATTATATTATAGCTAAATAGGTGAGTACTTAATACTTTTTACTTAATAAAGCATAATCAGTATACATCAACTAGTTAAGTTATATATTATGCATTATTATAATATTAATTAACAGTGACATCGAG